TATTATCAATAATATATTTTGATGCGAACGTGATACTCTACCATTCTAAGGTTTGGGGTAAAAATAATTAAATAAATCAATAACATAAATAAAAAAAGTAAGAAATGAATACTTTAATTCATCAAGGATGCATTAAAAGGTCAAAACTGAAAGAAATGGCACTCGTATTGTTACAAAACATTTCTATTTCAAATAAATACAGAGTTCTGGCATGAAACTCTAGATGGCGCAGTCCGATAGGTCTAGCGCAATCTGTTCTGGCGACATCATTGTCACATGGCAGCTGATTGGTTCTCTCCTGTATCGGTAGCCAATGAGCTTACTGCTCAATATTCAAATACATGGATTTTGTTTGCTGTAGCAGTTTGCAGTGCACTTCAGAAACCCTCCACCTTCCCCAGCTCCACCTGTATAGATCTGCTATGGGGTGATTAATATATGCTATATGGGGGTTATTCATATGCGTTATATGTGCAGCAGCAGTATTTCTTACATGCTTACCGCAGCATGTTGTGGATGTATTGGCAGTAGCCAATTAACATTGTCATGTACATTACCATGCCAATCCCTCCGAGAGTTGTCATGACATAAATGCTGTTCTTTTGAACTTGCTATTTATCAGCATAAATGAGTTTACTCCATCTGAAACTTAACAAATCTAGCAATTACGGTTTACTTAGAATACATATTCTGGTTCTTTAGAGATATAATGGTCCATCAAGTCTGGTTTATCAATTACCAAATAAGCATGTACATGTTTTATTATCAAAGTGATAAAATGTTGTGTTGCATAAATGAGTACACCCTCCTGAAAGTTACTAAATAAAACAAAATTAAACAAATTTGAGGCAATTTAAATCAACAGACAAGAATGTTGAACCAAACGAGTTAAAGGGGAGTAATTTCTTGACCATTACAAGTGTTACATAGCCTACTGAATCATTCTCAGACTTAATGCTGACTCATCTAAAGGGACCACTGTCCTCTTTGTGAGGACAATAAATCTAAGAAAAAAGAAAAGCAATCATGGTTTTAAGTGTGAAAATAAAACAAAAGTAACACAGACATTCAGAAAACAACAGACTTGAAATAATCAGGCCTTCACTTTAAGCTTTCATTTTGTGAGGTTTTTTTTTTAGGAGAAAAAAAAGCCAAATAAGTGTCTCAGAGTCAACAAAAGCTATGCAAAGAGTGACAGATTCATCTCACAGAGTAAGATGCAATGTAGAGAAGTGAAATGCATGGTTGTTGTCCACAGCTGAAACACCTACCGTAGCCAAAACACAATCAACTCATTTAACCTTTACCAAAGCCCATATTTACAAAATATAGACTTCTGGGAATCCATATTTAATTATTTTCGATCTAAAAACATCTAAAATGCTATGGTGTTGTTAGAGGAGGAGCAGAGTGAGAAGTGCCTGGTTCCCACAGTAAAGTTTAGTAGGGATGTATGAGTGCTGAAGGTGTTGGGGATTTGTACTGTATCAATAGTTATGTTTACATCCACCTAGTTTTAAGTAACTTTTGGGATATTGCATAAAAAATGCTGAATGGAAATGGCAAGATACACACAGATTCTAAAAATGCACATTCAAAACTTTACGCACTCAATTGAGTTGGATCTTTTTCTTTTCTTTTTTTTTTTTTTATCCAATACTAGGACATGCAAATAATATGATGGAAACACACTTACAAAATAAATTAAATAAATAAATTCCTCAGTTTGCATAAAAAAAAAAAAAAAAAACATGTGACTTTGCCTCAACAGATGGCAAAGTTCTCAACAGAAGTCCATCATCAAAATGATTTTGTATAATCACCTCCCAGAGCTGTCGCACACGATCACTTCCCAAACATCAGGCAACCAAATGCAAGATTACTGCATTTCCTCTGTGTCGCTCTGAGGCACAAGTCATTTATTATGTAGGAAAAAAGAGCCACATGCTTCCCTGGTTACAGCAACTTTCATTTTTTATTACTGATATTTTGCACCAGTTTCCCAGGAAGCGACAACTTTTTTTCTTTCTTCAACACATGGGATGGAAACCAAATTTCGCAAATGTTTTATGGCATATTCCAAGTCTGTGCTTAAGTTAGATTCCATATAATGTGTGATATAATGCAAGAACCTGAAACGGAAGATGCCTCCCTCTCCTCATTCCCTGTTAGGACATATTAATTACTAGAATATTACAGCTTTATTGAATTGAATCAAGGGTGCACTCATTTATGCAACAGTCCATTTAAACAAAATTGGCTAATGTATTTATTTTACAGATATTAAAGACACATTTTCTGTATTTTTATTAAGTATGTTTAATGAATTAAAAATGTTTCATCTTTCCATGAACTGTACAAGAGATTAAGAAAGAAAAGTACAGTACAGTACAGATAAATAAATAAGGAAAAGTAACATGAAATAAATGTGATTATATAAAACAGACAGACACACACACACACACACAGAGAGAGAGAACTGGTCCCCAAACTAAAGTGTGATGCAATAAATACAAATAAACGTTTGTCCGTTGTTTGTGGCTATCTGTGTCTTGCGATAACATAGTTTAACTGTATTTCACCTGGGTAATAACATTATTCATTTTTTCGTTCGGTCTTTCTCATTACCCCACACACACCGTCACTAAGCTTACACAGCACTTTTTTCAGACTGCTGTTTCTCTTGCTTTCCAGATTCACCTTCACATTTATGAATCTAATCTGCGGTGTTTATTGAGGCGGCTTTATGCATCACCATTGACTGTGCATTAGTGATCTCATGTGACGTTATGTGCTAAAAGCAAAAGGGATATAATCCAATACAGGTTCATACTCCTATAGAACCATTCTTTTTTTGTGTCCTCCTTTAATGGCAGTTAAAAGAGAATAAGAAGCGGTAGATAATGCATCTAAATGTCAGGTCACACAACAGCGGCTTCGAGTTTGGAGCTTTCATGGAGGAGCTCTATTATTCACTGTGTTTAAAAATAAACACAGACCTACATGATTAAGTAGAACTACATTTAAAGACATTTATAATGGCTGAGGCCAAACAATGAAAGGAGTACTGTGGGTTGAACAACACAGACATCATCTGCTGCATGCTGCGTATTACCACAGACGGTAATTGAATTTCAGTGTATATAAACAAATGGGAAACATATTTACAGGAAATCAACTCACAATGGAAGACCAGCATGCATACACACTTTCAACTACAATTCTGTTATGTACATATAACTGTAACACTCAAAAATGACACATATAATCATTCTTAACACTCCTAAAAAGTGAACTCTGTCACTGTCATTTCCCTTGTGGAAAATAACAGCAATTAATTGTATTGAAAGTGCACTTTTCAAATTTCAAATTTTTTAAGTAAAATTTGTAAAAACAGTATTTGCAGATAATATTAATGAAATAAAAGGTCATGTCAGTGAATTTAAACACTTTCATGTTTCTTAACGCATAATATTAAATCATATCAAATTAAATGTTTTATTTTAAAGTATATTTTAAATCATTTTGTTTTAATAAACTTTTGCGTGTTTTAAAGAGGTACACTTATTTTGATGTGTTGACTAACATACTAAAGCACGTGTAAAGTACTTTATTATAATTTTAACTGTAGTGTGTTATTGGATTATTATATTTCAAGTTAATATATTTTAAATATATTGAATTGAAACTTAATTATTACAAAGCTGTTCATTATTATTATGTTCCCAGCTGGTGGGAACGACTTGCCTGCCTCAATTCGAGCAGCTATAAAAAAAAATGTATTCTAAAAGACACATCTTTTTCATCAGCACCTGACCAATTAATAGCACTTACCTATTGTATTCGTTCTAATTTATAAAAAAAACCTTGCTATGTGTACTGTGCTAGACTGACTGAGACTTGTCACATCACTTGTATGCTGTTGCTCTCGTGTTGGTCTGATTGCGTCTATTGTTCTCCTCATTTGAAGTTGCGTTGAATAAAAGTGCCTTCTAAATGATTAAATGTAAATGCAAATATATTTAAATATTCAATTTAGTAATATTATCTATTATTATTAATTATTAAAGTATATTTTAGTTTATCATAAATGGTTGTCAGTACATTCAGCAGTACACTTTAATCATATTTCAAACACAACAGAAGAAATTATTAATTTACAATAGATATGTACTTAAGTCCAACTTAAGTGGGTAAACAAAAAACACTCCAAAGATCAAGTTGCATTCAACATACATTTACACTTTGAAATTATGGTTAAACCAAACAGTTGACAGTAGCCATTGACTTCCACTGTATTTTTTATTTATTTCACCCCCCCCCCACACTACAGAAGTCAATGCTACCGTCAACTCTTTGGTTTAAGAATAACTCTTATAAAGTATGTTGCTTATTCATCCTTCATTATGGCATAATCAAATGTCTGTATTTAACCCGGTACATTAGTCTAAAGAGCACCATGTGTTACTGGGTCCTGACCATATTGCAAAAGAGCAGCTACAAAGACAGATTCTAGACAATAACTGTAAATGTCAAGCGTGATGCTCATAAACCCCGGGCCGGAGACATCACAGCGGGCTCGTGTTATTCCCACGATCCCCAGGCATCGGCACGCTTATCACACTGACGCCGTGCAAACCGACTCAACCTGACTGAGACCTTGAGCCACAGATTACCACAGAAGGTCACAAGCAAATAAATGTGTTTCTCCATAAGTGTGGGAATCAGGCCTCGGTACTGTATGTAGGTGTGTGTGTGTGTGTACAGGTTTATCCTCCATTGTGGGGTCACTTCATCATATAAAGGATAGTAAATCCTGAAATTTTTGACACTGTGGAGACTAAATTACATTTATCTGAAAATTTAAAAATGCAGGGGTAGGTTTAGGGTAATGGATAGAAAATACTGTTTGTTCTGTAAAAAAACTATATAAGTCTAAGGCAAGTCCCCACAAAGATAGCCATACAAATATGTGTGTGTGTGTGTGTGTGTTCCCTCACCAGTGTCCTGGTCACAGAGCTGTTCGCAGGGATCAGTCGTTCTCTGGCCGCAGTAGTCTCTCACCCACTGGGTGGAGGTGTTGGTCTGGTAGTACAGGGTCAGTTTGGCTGGATTTAACCAGTTGGAGACATCCAGAAAACTGCCCATGCTCACCACAAAACTACTTCCTATAGCAAAAATACAGAAAAACAAAGATTTATCTTGTAACCTTCAAGGACAGCACACAACATTTTTATGATATCCTACACTGAAAAATAATTAGTACAGAGATGGCTTATAATAATTCAATATTATTAAATAATAGTAACACTTTAGTTTAGGGACCAGTTTTCACTATTATCTAGTTGCTTATTAGCATGCACATTACTAGCACACTAGCTGTTTATTAGTACTTATAAAGCACATTTTAATGCCTTATTCTGCATGAGCAGTATTTTAGATCCCATATCTAAACTTAACAACTACCTAACTAAATATTAATAAGCAGCAAATTAGTTTACAAATGAGTTTACCGAGGCAAAAGTCATAGTTAATAGTTAGTTAATAGTGAGTGTCTTTTGAAAACACTCAGTTGTCACACTGCTGTCATTTTTTAAATATGTGGTGCTCCCATTGAAAACAGTGGTGGAAACACATCCTAAGACCAGGAGGTCAGAATATCTTGAAACATCTAAAGATCTCTGGGCCTCTTTTGCAATGACAGTGTTCGAGAGTCCATCAAACAAACACTGAACAAGCATGATGAGCCATTCTGTATCTGTCAAAGTCCAGATCTCTCCCCAAAGCAGAATTAAACAGTGTTTCTAAATAAGTTCCCCCCTTTTCTGTGTCCATCATTTCTCAGGATGACGTGTTCTGCTGATGTGTGAATTCAGTCCTTCCCAAAGATAAGGGCGACCTAATTAAATTGCTGTGCTGCTTCATAATCCTTTCTGCCGTCTTAAACCCAAGAGCAGAGGCTGAGCGGGACGTGTGGACGCCTGCCAGACTGACACCCACTCAGGGACGCCCAGGAGTGGCGCAGAGACACAGGGATTTAACACAGCATGGCAGCTTTTGTTCCTGAACTTCACGACACGCCAGTATGACGAGATGCAGCCAGAACAACGTTTCTCCTAGAGAAAAAAGAACATCTCATTTATGTATGTAACCCTCGTTCCCTGAAGGAGGGAATGGAGACGTCACGTCGGTGACTGACGAATTGGGATCTCGCTTAGAGAGACCAATCCCCATTGAGTGTAAACTAAACGAGCCAATGCACATTGGCATGCGATGATTGCATCCAGCTGCCGCTGATCACAGTGCGAGCATAAAAAGGCAGCCAGTGCAACGTATACCAGGTTTTCGCTGAGGAGTCGAGCCGGTGACCCGGCCGCTCAGCGGTGGTACAGCAGCAGTGGCGACGGGACATGACGTCTTCGTTCCCTCCTTCAGGGAACGAGAGTTACATACGTAACCGAGACGTTCCCTTTCAGTCGGTCACTCGCTACGTCACGTCGGTGACCGAAGAATTAGGATCCTTACCAAAGCGCCTCCTGTGCCCCTTTTTGGTGTATGCCGGGGCTCGCAACAAGAAGACCAGTCACTGTTGTCGTAGCACTACCCACTCAGTAAGATTGGATAACACTGGGAAAACGTACACATACCAGTTGGAACAGGCACGTTGCGGAAGCCCCATCCTTCCCAAACAAGGTTTCGGGAAGCACTTACACATATTAACAACCGTTTAGGTGCATATGGAAGATTAGAGGTGATTATAACCCTCTGGGAAATGGCAGAAGTCTACTGGGGAATCACAGGCTCTGAGGCTATACCGTGGACTTTACACATATGGGATCCACTTAGGTCTCTACATATGGAACCCAGCCCTCTACCGGTTCTCATGGATTTATCGAGTGAGGGCCTGGCGCCAGACTTTCCGCCACGTCTGGCTGCCGAGGGGATGGAGGAGCTCGACAGGGTCTACAGTACGGACACTCTGGAGCAGTTTTAGCAAGCCGACACTAAACCGAGGCCTCTCAGTGCCTCTACCTGTTTGAGGTGAGAACACAGGAGGATACCGGCTCCACACGAAGGCTATAGAATCTAGCGAATGTGTTGGGGGTCACTCAGCCTACAGCTCTACAAATATCTGTCAGCGAGGCGCCATCCGACACCAGGTAATGACCACATCCAGAAATGCACGGTGATACAATGGTGATACGTTGTCTGTAGCAAGACGCAAAGTCTTCTTTACAAAGACGCAAGGTCGAGTTTACCAGATGCAACGTCGTCTTTACAAAGACGCAACCTCGAGTTTACCAGACACAACATCGTCTTTAAAAAGACGCACTCGTGAATGCTATTTTAGGGAAAAAGCTCTTTTAGCGTGCTGAATTGCACAGGGGAGATGGCTGCCTGCAACACAAACAGGGTGTAGTGCAGCCTGATGTGTGCAACCCACTCGACACGGGAAACCACCACCTCTGAAGCGCCGTACCGCCAACACCAAGAGCTCCAAAGAGCGCACTGAACTCGTTCAGTCTTCTTCTCTCAGTAGAGTAGTCAGGAGCAAAAACGATGTGATCACTCGGCTCCAAAGCGGAAAGCTGGTATGCATTTCACCGGCTGCCTTTTTCTGCTCATATTGTGATCCGTGGCAGCTGGATACAATCATCACATGCCAATGTGCATTAGCTTGTTTAGTTTACACTCAAAGTGGATTGGTCTCTCCAAACGAGATCCCAATTCGTCAGTCATTGACGTGACATAGAGAGTGACTGACTGAAAGAGAACTGTCTAGCTAGCGGTCAACAAATATCTGGGAAAAAAACAAAAAAACACAATTATATAAGATAGAATATTGTTTTGTTGGCTACATAAAATGATGTGAATATCATATCATTTAGCTATTCAATTTCCATATTCAACTTCAACATGATAAAAAAAATAAATTAAAAAAAAGGATCTGTTTTTGCAAATAAACTGTTCATATATATATATATATATATATATATATATATGGATCAAAAACGTTCATCAAAGTTGTCCTAAGACAAGAACACATTTTGGTTTTAGGACAACTTTTATGAAAAGGTTTTGATCCACTTCAAATGTTGCCTACTGTGTGTGTGTGTGTGTGTGTGTGTGTATATATATATATATATATATATTTTTTTTTTTTTCATATGCTTTAGCTACAATGGGTGTTTGATTTTGGTTCTTAATATTGTGTCTATATTAGGATAGCATCATAGAATCAGTAGGGACAGGGCTTAAACAGGAAGTGTGTCCACAAGTGTGCACTCAAAATGTACCATGCATTACACTTCTATGTAAAACCTGATTGCTTTTTATGCCCTTTAGAAATCCACATAAACAGGAAGGCTATAGCATAAGCTAAATATACAGCTAAGAGCAGTGGACCATGTCTGAAATGAGTTTGACAAATAGGTGGGTGTTTTAGAGAAACTGTGTGTGTGTAAGTCCACATTTAAGAAGAAAAAAAAATAGATGACCTTCGGAATACCCCCTGAGAAAAAATCCGCCACTGAATGTCAGCGAACAGTTTAATTAGGAACCTGATGCTGGTGACTGTGACCTCTTCAAATTTCAGACTAATGTAAGAGCTTTAAGTTGATTCTAATTATATAACCGTTACAGAAGCTATATGCAAAGTGTGGGCTAATACGAGTGATCTGAAATTTTAGATTGTCTGCATCTTCTAAAAAAAACACACAACAGATGGAGCCCATGACCCTCAGCAAACCTACCGGAGTACGTATGACAAATCACCTAGAAAACATGTTCTCTAAATTAAGATATTTTGGGTCCTGAAATGTGTGTGTGTTACCTACTTAACCATTTTGGGGACAAATTTGTTCCCAGAAATTAGCTAAACCTGACAGAAGCTCCCAAAACATCCTACTGGTAATATCTTCATTTGTAAAATTTGAATAAATATAACGTACATATTTATTGTTTGCTTTCTGTTAGGGTTGGGTTGCAGTATTTAATAACTAGCTGTATTCAAAAACAATAAAAATCTATGGAATGTCTCCATTTACAGTAGATAACTGTAAACATGCACATGTGTATGTGTTCATGTGTGTGTGTGTGTGAGAGTGTGTTTTTATACTTTTGAGGACCAACTGTCCTCACTAACATAGTGGAATTTAATGACAACCGATTTGCGAGGACATATTATGTGTCCTCACTAATTAAAAGGCTCATAAATTAGCCAAATCACACTTGTATTTGAATCTAATGATGTGCAGGTTTCTGTGAGAGCTGTTTGATCGGTCAAGTATGACAGAAAATATCATTAAACCAAAAGAAATATATTTTGTAATAAAATGTTTTAAGATAACCCCTGTTATTTAAAGGGGTCATATGATGCGATTTCAAGTTTTCCTTTCTCTTTGGAGTGTTACAAGCTGTTCGTGAATAGATAAGATCCCTAAAGTTGCAAAGACTAAAGTCTCAAACCCAAAGAGATTTTCTTTATTAAAGTTAAGACTGGTCCACGCCCTCCTAAAATGCCTAATTTAAACACGCCCCCACATGTCTACGTCACAATGTGGGAAGATTTGCATAACGTCGCAGAAAGAAGGCGTAACTTTATTGTTGCTGCCACTGCCGCCGCCATGTTGTGTGTTTCGTTGCGAAAGCGCAAATATTTTATTTGGCCTTCCGAACGTTCATTGTGTGACTGCCTACCGTAAGCGTGAAAATAGGAATTATATGGGTAAATTAGACCTGCTGGCGCTTATAGGTAAAAATTCCCAGCTTGTAACCTGGTTTTATCTAACCATTGTTTTAACAACAGGAGATTGTAAATAACCCAATTTTAGTAAAAGTCAATGACTGGGAGACTTGGATATTTTATTGAAGATCTGTTAGGTACATATTAAAAACAGTCATGAGGTAAATTTTACCCCGTGTCGGTTCTAGTATTAAAAATTAATCACTCAGTTCTTTAAAACAGTAACCTTCCTAAGGAGGTACCAGCAACCAGACAAAATAAACACTGATGATAATATGTGGAACATATACAGTAACAGAATATGCTGCCCAGGTGGCATCGGCAATTTAGGTCGGACCAATACAAGCAGCAGCAGTTTCTCTATTCATGTTTTTTTTTTTTTTTCTCATCAAGCCACTCACTTGTAGATTATTTAAAATAGAT